CGAAGATAAACACAGCCAGTCGCCAGAACCATGTGTCAGTTTGCCTACACTTTCCAGCACGCAGTTGAGTCCATCGTCAGAAGTGAAGGCAATGCCAAAACTGATGGAGTCTACTGCATGCTCTAGCCAACAGATGACATGCGCTACGAGTTCGCAGGTGACATCCCGTAGTTTTCCCTGTAGGCCAAGATTCGATGGGACAGCGGAATAAATAGTTCTTGGTTCTACTGAACTCCGAACACTCGCAACCCTGGCTTTACGAAAAGGGCACCAAAGAAGTGAACCCCCAGGAGGCTGAAGGCAGTCATGTTACAAAGTTACTTTCCCCATCGCACAACTCCTTTGTGTCTAGTTTCTCGAATACAAGCTTTGTACGGCCCCGCCTTGTAGTTTTCATACTTAGACCATCCAATGGATGAGGTCCATTTCTGTCCCCGACATGGTGACTTTCGCAGGACTCTGTTTGTTTGACGCCTAAGTCCAAGAAGTCGGACAAACAGAAACCCCCTGCCCCCGAAGACTGCGCCTTCTTCTTAACTCTGTCCAGGCTTGTGCATCATCTCCCGCACTTTAGTCTTCCCAAGCCATACGGTGATCCGATGGCAGGACGAGATCAGAGAGACCGGACGAGAGCGGGTGAACGGAGAGTATGGAGGTTCAAAAGGCGCCTACGCGTGCCGCACACCGCCGGGTCCCTAAGCTCCCTACCTTCCGGGCTCCACTGAGGGGGCGTCGGGTCTCGCGTAGGTGAGAGCAGCGTATCGGTCACGTGGAAGGGGAGCCACTTCAGTCTGATGTTCCGGGCCATGACTTTCAGCACGTCGTAGTACTTTTAAGCCCGCCAAATCTGTCGTGACGAAGAATACTCCGAACTTTCATCGGGTGGTACCTCAGTATCAGGTCCTCTCTTCTTTTTCACATGCAGCAGTGACCTGCCCGGGTCTCTCAGCCAACTAATGGATGCTGATGCAGCGGTCAGCATAGCATAAGCTGCCGCCTATCGCGTACGACACGCAAGTACGCCAATACTTAAGGGATGACGTGGACTCAGCCTAGCCAACACTAACGCGTGTGATGAGACCGCGTAGCTCCCACTTAGGTCTAATGTAACAGCGACGTAGCGCGTTCTGAGACAAAGATTTATGACTTCAACGACTGTCTATGCATGTGTCATGGTAAGCTGCTGTTGTTCAGAGTGACTCTGTGCTGGTCTGAAATCCCAACACCTAGTCCCATGACAATTAACTTAAGATGCAGAAGATTTTTCTTTTCAGTGACTGCTGTGGGTCGACTTGGTTTGTGTGCCGTAGTACAGTTGCCACCAGGACTGAAGGCTCCAATGAGCTTGGTTGTTTTCATACTAGTGATGTCTCGAGTTATTCACATACGCTTACCTTGACGAGCACGTCAAGGAAATGCGGGTACCGCTTTTTTTAGGTCTGTCTCCATCCCATAGTACACGCGTCTAAGCGAATACCGGTATCCCGATCAGTATCATAAAGAAAAGGAAGAAGAAGAAGAAGAAGAAAATGATGATGATGATGATGATGATGATGATGATGATGATGATGATGATGATGATGATGATGATGATGATGATGATGATGATGATGATGATGATGATGATGATGATGATGATGATGATGATGATGATGATGATGATGATGATGACGACGACGACGACGACGACGACGACGACGACGACGACGACGACGACGACGACGGTGGTGGTGGTGGTGGTGGTGGTTGTGGTGGTGGTGGTGGTGGTGATGGTGGTGGTGGTGGTGGTGGTGGTGGTGGTGGTGGTGGTGGTGGTGGTGGTGGTGAGGAAGCATGGGCCACCGTGACAAGAACTGTGGCCACTTGACGTCTTGCACTCACCCTCGAACCCGGACTTAGATACTCAAGGCACTGGGCACAAGATGGGAGCAGTCTTCATATGACTTAATTCCTACGCCACCACCTTGCCAGTTAAGTTAGTAATTCACGCATTCATCGCATATCACTCTATTAGCGTGTTGGAACTTGCTGCAGTGAACGCGAGAGCAAAGTTGCTGAATTACGAAACCTCCGACGGGTATTCATAAGGAACGCCTGTCCGTACAACTCCCTCTACCATGCACTGAGGAACATGATGAAAGATTAGAGGGGGATAAGCTCGAGGTGATCAGTAGTGGCAAAGTTGTGAGAATGAAGGGTCTTCTGCCACAACAGAAATCGCTTATAGTCCTTTACTGGACCTCAATTGCAAGTAACGGAGGAAGCGGCAAGCAATTTCGGATGCAGATAATAGAACACCTATCATCCACGAGGAGGAAAAACGCCAAATATCCGGTCGTCGATCACTTAATGGAATCCGCCAACATCTTCGAGTTGAAAGAGGCCAAAATCCTTGCGAGTTTTGACGCCTGCTTAAATGACGAGTTGCCCGAGTCCTGATCTCTCTCGCCTACGGTGCACCCTCAACCGCAATTGCCTTCCGCCCTCTAAACCAGCTCTTCAACCTTCCCCTCCCCCCCCTCCCCGGGGCAGAGTAATCGCCCAAACTGCGATCGAACTGGAGGTCCGTGTGATGATGTACAGTTACGAAGAAGGAGACACGATCGTTGGGACAAGAGCTTTATTCGCCTGACGTTTCGGATTCCTGCTCGAACCCATCCTCAAAGACAAAAGCAGATACTGGTGGTTCATGCAAAAGGGGCTGCAGCATTTATAGGATGCATTCGCCATGCCACCGTGGCTTGCCCCTTCTTGGCGTGGCAGCAGAGTCGTCTGGAGTCGTTTATCGGGCTAAGTTAAGGATTAGGTCTAAGTCAATTTGACCAAGGTGTGAGAATCTCGGCGCCTCGCTGGGATTCGAACCCAGGACAACAAGGGCAGGACGTGAGTACACCCAACGCTCTAGTCATCTGACCTACGAGGTCTCAACGGGAGCCGCGAGTTTAACCACACATCTGGGTTAAGTTACCCACCCAACCTTCTGCAACGCCTGGAATCCACCAAACCTTATACACTAAGTCCAAGTAGGATTTCCAAAATAATCCAACTAGAATCCACCAGATGACTGCCAGGCTCACGTAATTAATGGGTACTTTGGCAGATTTTGAACAACTCGTTTTGACCCACCTGTGCAACACTCGGCGCCTCGGTGGGATTAGGTTTAGGATTAGATTTAAAATTAACGGTAAACTAAGCCAGTATCAAGTTTAGGGTTAAAGTAGGAGCTAGTGTTAGCCGCAGAATTAGGGTCAGGTTAGGGTCAAGGTTAGGGCAGCGGCTTAGTTTTATACTGAGATTATTGTCGGGCTTAGTACACAGGAATATTTTGCCTTTTTTAGAATTTCATGCAGGTGCGCCTTTACTACTTGGGCGCGCATTCTTATTCCTGTTTGGACGCCTGCATAAGTCAGTGCCACCGAAAATAGTATGTGTATATGCAGGATGTTATCACCGACAGACACTAGGGAGACTGGAATGGCCATTTCTGGCTTATTTGCCGTCGTCCGCCAGTCATGCCCAACTCCGAAGTGTGGAACACCCGGGGCTCGAACTCGCGACCGTTTACTTACAGTTTAACTCCTCTAACCACTGGGCCACGAGCCAGTTATCCCGTCGGTTTCGATCGGAAATATACAGTGCGTGACTGATCTCATGAAATGTTGGCCGAAATTCTAAAATGCCTTTTCGATTACGAGGTACTACTTAGGTGGGATTATAACACTGATTATTATGCGGCATAATTCTATGGTATTTCGGACTCGCCGGGATGTCGGCTTTTGAATGAACTTCTTTTCGCCCTCCTGCAGAAACCACCCCCAGTAAAAATTGACTACTTATGTAGCATGCATTTTTCGTGTTGATTTTCGATGGTCTTATATATTCAAATATATTTTATAGAAAACATGCATAAAAATACGCCATCTTCCACTCATTTAGTAGGAAATCACATTGCCTTCACATTTTATACCCGAAGAAGGTGTATATTTAGGTTTTGAAAAGATTTCCCAATTTCCGAATAATTTTGAGTCAGATCAGAGACTTCATTAGTGTTTAGCGATTGCAGTCTACAGCGTGTATACTTTCCGCGTGAGGAAAATCATATAGTCCTCTATGCCTTTAAAAAGATACTATATAGAGTTCATAAAATTTTGCAATGGATGCGGACTACGGTGTGCATTTCATGAGGAGTGTTGATAAACGGACATGTACGATGCTGTAGGAATGGAGATCGCACGGTTTTAAAAATCTCATAATAAGAGACTTAAAATTGAAAGGTAACATTTCTTAGGGTATAAAATGTAAAGGAAATGCAAATCCCTACCAAACGAGTAAAAGAATGCATATGTTTATGCATGTTTTCTATAAAATATATTTGAATATATAAGATCATCGGAAATCAATGCGAAAAATGCATGCTATTTAAGTAGTCAATTTTTCTGCAGGAGTGCGAAAAGAAATGCATTCAAACGCCGACATCCTGGCGAGTCCAAAATACGATAGGATTATGCCGCATAATAGTCAGTATTACAATCCCACTGACTGAAAGCGCATTTCAGAATTTTGACCGACAGTTCATGAGATCGGTCACTCACTGTACAGTGGTAGAGGGACGCTCACCGAGAGAGAGCCCGTAAGGCACAACGGAACGAGTGAGTTCCGTAAGAACGATCGGTGGGCGCTCCTCAACCATAGTATGTGTAAATGTGCAAACAGTTTTTCAGAGTATTGTTTGGATGATTAGACATCAATGAGCAGAAAAGAACAGAGTTAGATCCAGTTAGTAGTGAGCTTCTTGATAATTAATCGCTCTACTGTCCGTGTGGCTGTATAGCTATCGTCTTCATAAGTGGTTGCACTGTTTACATAACAATTGACGGTTATTTTTAATGGAAATCTAAATTGATCACGGTCAAAGTCCGACACCGCTAAACCTTTGATTGTTTCCGACATAAAAACAACAGGAGTTCACCAAGTGACCCCAACTGGAAGACAATACGTGTTTGAATTCATTTAGCCTGGAGGTTTTAATTAATAAGTTCTTCTCTTGCACACAGATGACCGCATATCGAGCTCCAATCCAGACCTGCCTTTAGGCCACACAGTCCGGTTGCAAGCAGGAAATGGTCAGTGACCGATCTCATGAAATGTTAACCGAAATTGTGCAGTGAGTTTTCGGCTAGATCGCAGTCGGTAGCCAGGAATGGGGAAGCGGACGGGGACCTTAACCCTAATCCCAACCTTAACCCTAACCCTAACCTCAACCTTAAATTTTAACTGTTAACCTAAATGGCAACCCTAACCCTAACCGAAATCGTGAACGTAACCGTAGCCCTTGAACATAGCCGTAACTGAAAAACCTAACTGTAATACTGAGACCTAATCGTACGCTCAAACCCTAGCCGTAACCCGAAAACCTTAGCCTAAAGGCATAACCCTAACCCGAAAATCGGAAGCCATTAACCGGTACCCTAATCCTAACCTCAGACGTAAACAGGAAGTCAAATGGGTCAGATGTGACTATGGAATCCCACAAAATAGCCCCAGTAAACAACCCCCATAGCCACCTGTAATACGGAGCCTGGATACCAACTGCGATCTAGCCGAGTTTTCGATCCCGAAGGATTGCTTAAGTGGGACTTTAGTATTGACTATCTTGCAACACAGTCTCGTGACACTTCAGCACGCTGTCGTACTAGCTTTTGAATGCATTTCTTTTTCGGTAAAAAATGGCTAGCTAATAGGGGACATTTTTCCATCGATTTCCGAACTTCTTCTAAATTCAAACTTACTTTATAGAGAGCCTCCATAAACGTTTTAATTTGTGTACTCATTCGGTAGCAAAGCATGTCTTCTTCGAGTTTTATACTTGAAAAAAGGATGTCTTTTGAACTTAAAAATGTTTTTCAATTGCCGCACGATTTCGAACTCGATCCGTCATTGCATTCTCTTTTAGGATTTTCTGTGTAAGGAAAAACACGCATTCCTTTGGGCTATTAAATAGAAACTATAAAGTGCTCACAGAATGTAACAGCGAATGTGGACTCTGTTGTATACTGAAAGAAGAGTGTTATAAAACAGATACATACGATGCTATTTGCATGGACACAGCACGGCCTTAAAAATCTCATAATCAGAAACTTTAAAGACTGAAAGACATTTTTTCTTCGGGTACAGGGCTTAAAAAGACGTGGTTCGCTACCGAATGAGCACAACGAAGAATATTTTGCGTATGTTTTTTGCAAAATATTTTTTAATCTATAATAATAATTTTATTGAAGACCCGATGGGTTCCCATCAAAGCAAGTAAAAATAGATTTACATAGAATTTTAGACGAGGTAGGCAGAATCTGTATAAAATGCTATTCAGGGTTTCTGAATTTGTAGTCCGTTAAGAAAAATGATGAGCGAGCAGTGAAAAAAACTACTTAAGGATTTAAAAATGATTGGATTAATTTTCCAGGGGAAAAAATTGACAGATAAAATGCATTCTAACCAAGTGGTAACTTTCTGCCTAATGTGGTTTTTACAGGCGACTGAAAAACGGTGCATTCAAAAGCCAACATTCTGGAATTTTTGAACTATCCCTGAATTACACCGCATGATAATCACTGTAACAACCCCACTTAAGTAATTTTTCGCTACCCAAAACGCATTTCAGAATTTCGGTTGCCATTTCACCAGATCGGTCACTGACTTTACAGACGCATGCTACGCTTCCATGGAGCCGACTAGTGCCGCTAATAGCCGACAAAATGTATAGTAGTCAAGTCGCCTTGACGCAGATACCCATCAACGGTGGCGGCAAATATATTAAAATTTGTTATTCCATCCCTTCTCATTTTGCGTTAGTGAGTGATAGTCAGAGAC